AGTAGAACGTATTTCGCCGAATTATTGTGTTTCTTATATAAATGGCTTCTGTAGTCAGTTATGAACATGGCAACTTTTGAATATGTGTATTTAGTAATCTCAAGTTGGTAATAATATTAATATACATGTGCTAAAAATACCAATCTTCTCGTTCCTTTGATTCCTTTGTTTATTTACTCAGAACCGACAGTTACAATTTTCAGAGATATCAAAAAACTAGGCATCAAAATCTTGTCCAATTCAAACGCCACCTTATTGATATTTAAAAGAGAATTTCCAGTCACCGGCCATGTTCTAATTATCATCAATTTAATTAAAAACCTTTAATTATATTTGCGCTTTTAATTTTGGAATATAAAGAGTCTATGGAAATATGCGTGATACTCTAAACATGTACAAGGAGACTTGGATGTGGTGCTGGCATAATAGATAGCGGCTCGTGATAAGTGATACTCTAAACATGTACAATAAGACTTGGATACGTGATACTCTAAACATGTGCAATCAGACTTGGATGTGGGTCTGGCATAATAGATAGCGGCTCCTGATAAGCATAGGTAGAGACGTGTTTCTGTTGCGATTTAGCAAATATCATTTGGAAAGGTATGAATACATCTCCTTCTACTAACTATCGGCTAAAATGTAGCAATTGTATCTGGCAAATTCATTGTTACTTACATTACTTACATTATTCTGACTGTTATCCTCATCTTGGTCCGTTGTACGTTCCGGCCATCTTCTGGTAACTGGAATTTTGAATCGAACCCTTTATTTTTCCAACATGGTAGATTGTTCTATTTCCACGTGCCATGCCTTTTCCTTATGTCTCAGTAATTTCCCTTTAACGCAACTCTCCAAGTTTGGTTCACCATTGATGAGGCCTGGTATTCAACTCATATCTCTTTGTGTCTAGTCAATTAAGATGTAGATAATGTAAATAATGTAAGTAACCATAATACCTCATCTCAGAGATATAGATAGAAAATCATTGTTATTCTAAAAAAAATTCTAATGCACTAAACGTTAAAGAAATATTTTCCTTGAAATGCAAATATTCTTTGGCTTAAAATAACCCCCAAACCTGTAAAAATCAAATAGATCAATATTCCTTCATATTCCTGTATAGAGAAAGTTTGGTCGAACAATTACTAAGTTTTCAGTTCAAGATATCAGTGGTGAACAGACGATGGAGAATTCCTATTTTAAATTCCCTGACCTCTTGCGACAACGTTATTGATGACCCCGGACAAAGGTTCCTTAAGACGCTCGACCGTAAGCAAAGACTCAACAGATATTCCCTGGATATGAATGTCAACTTTGGTTTACTGGTAACATTATAGATAAATATTATTCCCAAAGCTACGTAATCAACGACTTCATTATGTGCATCGGCCTCGCTCCAGTTCGTGCCTTCTGAGAACATGATATGCCAACCATTCTATTGAATCTCTATTGAATACTTTCGGAAGGTAAGCATAATGTGAGATACATATTGTATCTTATCTCCTTTTGAGTATCAATGAAACTATACTATCAAAATATATTAACACTATAATTATAAACAAAGCATACATTCGATTTTAAAAACACTTAAATGCTTCAATGTATTCGTCATAAATCACCAGAAGAATTATTGAATCATCTACGATATCTCGATACAGTTGAAATAAGCAAGCGATTATAACGTATCAATTTAATGCTTAAAGAAAATAATATTTTAATACCTAATGTTTAAACGTTTCTTTTATGTACCTTCATGAAGTGGGCGATTATAGCTCTCCTCAACTTCCAAAATAGTGTTGCTAATCTTCTGGTCTCTGTTTTGCTAATCCTTTACACAAGTGCTTTAATCATTAATTTCTATTGTCTCGTTTGCTTTTAGTATGTCCTACGAGTCTCAAATTCTCTAAGTTATCTTTCCTCAAAATATTCGCTAGGAGGTCCATTGCCTCTTTCTGATTCTAATTATAATCCTCATGTTTTGTGTCCATTTTCCTTAAACTTCGTCCTTGCTCACATATTCAATTCATTGTCTACTCAGTATCCGATATTCACCGCTACATAGGACGAATGATATTACACAATATTTCTTTATTCATATTTTTTGTCCCTTAAAGGCATCCTTCGCGATTCCAGTTTGCCTTCGAATTTCTGCATAGCATTTTCCCGTCCATTGTTAAAACCATAACATTTTCGTGCATGCCTAATTCTGGTATGTCCAATTTTTAATTCGCATCTTGGTCTTTCCCTATTACTATCATACATTTGCCTACTTACTTAATGCTTAGTCTTATAATTTGCTTACAAATATTAATTCTATAATATCCTAACCTAGTAAATATTATTATCAAAACATAATTTGAATTATATGAAATCTCTATTTTCGTCACATTTCGAACATTTTTAAGTTTTATAGACAAGACGATAAAATAACACTGTGCAACAAATTTCAAGTTAAAAAAAGTACATTCCACATAAGACCTGTTTAAGTGTTAAAAAAGTATATTGATACTAAACCTGACCTTTTCTTCCCTTAGATTAGGCACCATTTTCATGTACTTATATCATAATTTATTATTATTGGTTATGAATAAAAAACAAAGAACTTTCAGTTTATACAACATTTGTCCTCTTAACCCTCTTGGGTATAGTGTCATCCTATCTTTTTATATCCCAGCAGTAGTCTGCAAACATGCCAGGGTTACATTTTCCTTTAAAGCGTTTCTCCATTACTGAAATATCCTGATGGAATCTTTCGCCATGTTCATCACTCACATCACCAAGATTTTGCGCAAAGAAGTCCAAATGAGAGTGGAGTACATGAAATTTAAAGGACATGTCACACCCCATATCAAGATAATGACGTATTAGATCATTTATAATTGCACATAGTCTTCTGAACGATATTTTCCAAGGAACTTATCAAAAACTTTCTTGAATGACACAAAGTCAATTTTTTTTTTTTGAGATGTGTGTTGAAAGTTTCATCAAGTACAATTTTTCGAATTTGAGGACCTATGAAGATACCTTCTCTTATTTTAGCCTGGCATAGAGAAGGGAACTTTTCTCTAAGATATGCGAGGGAATCCTTGTCCAGGGCCTTCACAAATTGTTTAAACAAACCAAGTTTAATATGCAAAGGTGGTAAATGGATTTTATCACTTTGCAGAAGTGGTTTGTGTTTAATATTATATTTTCCTGGCTCAATTTCATCTCTAACGGTCCAATGCTTGCGTACATAATGTCCAGTTCTTGCTCTGGAGTCCCATAAGCATAGGAAACAGCAAAATTTAGTATAGCCAGGCTGAAGGCCTGTAAGCATGGCTACAATCTTGAAATCTGCACAAATATGTCATTAATGTTTATTATATTGTACGCTAGTTAGAATTGTTTTTAAATTTTCATATGATTCTTTTATGGTTGTGCTGTAAGCTATGGGAACAGATGGCAGAGTGTTGCCATTGTGTAGCAAAACAGCTTTGATGTTTTCTTTGGATGGATCTAAGAAATGTCGCCAGTTGGTGTTATCATATGTTATTTCTAGTCGTTCAAAAAGTTTAGCGACGTCATTACAGAAGCATAAGTCATCTTTCATGGTAAACAATACATGTAGTTTTTGTGAAAGTTTTCTGTACAATGTTATCTTCACTCCTTTTCTAAGAAGATTACGTTCTTTAAGCCTTGATGCTAGAAGCCCACTTTTGTCTTTGGTTAAATAAAGATCTCTACATAAGTCATTTAGAGCCTCTTGAGAAAATAGTATTGGTTTATTCATGCTTTCTAGATCATTAAGTTCTACTGTTTCATCACTGGAATGTTCATCTCCACTGCTTGAACTCCACATTTCTTGATCTGGGGGTTTTGGCACAGGCAAATCTTTTGAGTGCTCATCTGGGCGCATTGCTGATTGCAAATTTAGGTAAACAATGTGTTTCTTTTTCTTTTCCGTAGTACAGCCCGTATAGTCTTGCTGACAGAAATAGCAATCATTAGAATGATCTCTCTGCTCACGCCAAATCATTGGCACACCAAACTTCATGTGAACATATATTCTTGCCAACCATGTGCTCAGTGTCTTCACACATGTAAGGCAACAGACATGAGGAACCCTTTGCTTGTCTTGGTCTCCTATGTCACAATGAAATTACGCCTTGTACAATTTCTTTATATGACTTGTAATGCTGCGTTTTTCTTTAGCAAATGTTAATTCGCCACATATGTAGCAGAATCTGTTTGGATCATTTTTGCACTGTCTTCACGTCATTTTCGAAACCTATAGAAAAAGTATAAAGAAATATAAAATATAGTAAATCCAGGTTTCAAGGCATAAACACGGTTAAATATAAGCACATAATAACATATACAAAATATGGAAGCGCAATGTAAGAAATGTATTTTTAACATTTTTGCCGAGATTCTTGCAAGTGACAATTTTGCAACAACTATACCTAATTCAATAAAAAAGAAGGCCAGAAATGGATTTTTCATGCCATTGTGGATATAAAAATGACCACAGATATTCTGTACTTTTTTTAAGTTTTGCACAATGTAATTGATATACACGCCATGGGTATTTCCTTACACTCTGAAATGGATTTTAAGTTTTCTATTTAAAGACTTCATTTATTTTAAGTAATGAATAGATCAGAATAAAACGTTTGAGAATTTCTATTTATATAGTAAGGACACTCGTTGAAACTTAAAAAAAAACAAGTATTTTTCTCAAAAAAAGGAATTCAATTTATACTATATGAATTGATATCTGTCGAAAAAAGAGAAATAATTGATTTGTTTTAACGGTTTATCAATATTTTTCATGTTATTTAAAACGAGAAAATATGCTAGATTGTAAGAAATGATGGATATTATAATGAATTTTACTGAGAGAAATCCTACTAATTAACCTATAGTTAGTGGATTCATAGCTTTTCTCGGCTGTATATTTTTTCTCCGATTTTCAATTCCGACCCGTTATCAGTTACGCCAACTACATATGCAAGCATACAGCATTCGGTATTCCAAGCAGTTACCAATCTCGATAATAACTAGCCGCAACGTTGCTTAACTTCTGTGATCGTATCAGAACCGGTGCTTCAACGTGATATGGCCGTAAGCAGCAGGAAGGGTAACATTAAGAATATTCTACAGAATAAATAGAATAGGACATTACTAGCGCCAGATTTAAGGAGTTCAATTTGCTCAAACATCTCGCAGTTTAATTTTCCAATTGAACTATTTTCATTATTTTTAATGCCTTCTTATAACTTTGAGTTTTTGTTCACCTTATGTTTGCTTCTTAACACAACGTTTTATGCAACCTACTCATCTGCGCATCTCTTAATTTGTTATTGCTTTCATCAGTGTTTATATTTCTTTCGCTCCTGCATTTTATTCTCTTTTTGCTCGGTTGCTCATTTCCCCCTTTTCCGTGTTTACGCAAAACACTGTTTAAGGATCGAAAATATTTTGCTCAAGCTAATTTAGCAACCCAACAAAACAAAAATATCACTCCACAATGCACAACAGCAATGCATATCGATAACGTGAAAGCACACTGGAGAAAACAGACAAAAGAACGAGGAAAGAACGAGATGAAGACACGCTTCATGCTTTGTTCCATCATTGTTTATCAACAAATCTTCTGAAAAGGGGTGTTTACGTTGGATAAATAGACGTTAATTGTGCCAGAATACCTGTACGAATGGAAAATAATCTTATTTTCTTTACACCTTGGAAAACTGATCAATGATGATGGCAAATTTTAATATTTTCAAGTTTACTTACAGGAATTTTAGGAGAATTTAGAACACAAATATTAAAGATTTATTGCATAAAATACTAACAATGTGTTCATATGTCTGGAAAGAACTTATGAAATAAAAACAAATACTTTTCAAAACTTTGTTAGATAGCTAGCTAGATGGATACATACATATATACATACATACATAAATACATATAAAGATGAGAATAAAGTGAGAATGAGAGATATATAGTTAAGAAGAGAGTGAGTGAGATAAGAACAGAGTGAGAAATATATACATATAGTTAAGAACAGAGTGATAGATAGATAGATAGATAGATAGATAGGAACAGAGTGATATATATGGGTGTGTATATATATATACATACATATATATATATATATATATATATATATATATATATATATATATATATATATAAAAGAGAGAGAGAGAGAGAGAGGAGAGAGAGACAGATAGAAAGAGAGATTTAAATGTATATAAAATTAGATTTAAATGGATAAAAATATATATTCAAGCATAGATAGATAGATCATAGATAGATAGACAGATAGATAGAGAGAGAGAGATTAATGATGATGGCAAATTCTAATATTCTCAAGTTTACTTACCAGAATTTTATAAGAATTTAGAACACAAATATTAAAAAGTTATTGCATAAATTACCAACAATGTGTTCATACGTCTGGAAAGAACATATGAAATAAAACAAAATACTTCTGTTAGATAGATAGATAGATAGATAGATAGATAGATAGATAGATAGATAGATACATACATACATACATACATACATACGTATTTGTGAATAAAGAGAGAATGATAGATATATAGTTAAGAATAAAGTGGATTAGATAAGAATAGATTTAGATAGATAGATAGATAGATAGATAGATAGATAGATAGATAGATAGATAGATAGATAGGAGCAGAAAGAGATTTACATGAATAAAAATACATAGTCAAGCATGATGCTTCTGTACTTCTCTTAATTTCACTATTTCCTTTCAAGTTTAAATTTTCCTGAACCTCTTTCCTTATGATATATCCCCGAAATTCGCACTCTCTTTCTGATTGAAAGTGTAAATATTATTTTCATTTCTATTTTCTTTATCATACACTACTCGCTCACATGTTTTATCCTGCCATTCAGTTATTCTTTGTTGGAACGATAGAGATATGGATCGTTTTGGTTGACTTCTTCATCTGTTGGGAAATTGTCCAGCATTAATTTTGGTAGACGAGATGCTTTGTTGATAAGCACTATTTTCTTTCTTTCTAAGCATATTTTCCATTACCTTATACTAATAATAATGCTTAGTTTCTTCAAGTCATCTTTCGCTAAGTTTATCTAGTAATACACTGGAGACCCCATATATCTGGGCCTGTGCTTGATTAATCTACGTTTGTTAAATCTTGAATCGCGGTGAGGAAACAATTATGTATATTTTTGCCTCGATAAATTAGTGTTTTTAACTAATTGGCAAACGACGATATTTATCATATAAAGCATTACGTGATTTTTTAATGGTAGCATTTTTTTACTCCAGGCGCCACGGTCATATAAGGTATTAGGACACTGAAGTAGGCTTTTGAATTAATGCAAAAAGAAAATGTAATGAAGGCAGAAGCCTACTGTCATGTAGGAAAAGGTGATGACAGTAGACATGCAGAGGTTAATATAGTTGCGAACGGAAAGTCATCTTCTCGTGAGTTTCTTCTACAAAGCAATAGTTCTAGGGAAGAAGCTGTCTGAGGAAAAGTTCTTCATTATCAATTCTATTCAAAGAGGATGAGAAGGATCCGTCCAAGCGTAAGTAGCATGGCTTGACTTAGAAGTAAAGATTTGATCTGGTGTTAATAATGAAAGTAATTTGTCCAAACATTTCCATTTCTAACGATAGATTGTGAGAGATTTGCAACGTTTTGCCTCTGGTAGAGCATTTGTAGATTGGAAAATAATTAATGGCCCACAAGCCGCTTAGATGCTTTTAAACTTTACCGAACTAGAAACTGAGTACCGGGTGTACCACAAAAGATAGGATATGGAATAAATAATTCTTTCGCGGGAGATCTGTTAGCTGATCAGCAAAAGAGAGTTTAAATTTCTAGGATATATAATAAAGAAAGATGGCTTAGAAAATTTGATTCTGACAGGAAACAAATACGACAGAGTAAAGCAGGGAATAACCCAGGGAGATTGTGTAAATGGTTGCCAGCAATGGGATTATAAGAGATAGCAAAATAAATAAATACAAATTCAGAAGAACTAAAAAAGAAAGGAGTCAGCAAGCCATGATCCACCTCATCATAAAAGGACACAGCACATGAAACAATAAGACATATACACGTACAAAACAAAACACTATATATATATATATATATATATATATATATATATATATATATATATATATATATATATATATATATGTATATTATGAAGAACTTGGTAAACCGAATTGGTAAATCCAAGGAGAATGAAATCCTGAGAGCTCAATGAAGCACAGAGCTAATATTTAATGAAAACAGATCACTTTAAAGTACCATTAAATAATTTATTTCACCAAAATCCTTTTAAAGATTCCGGATCATCAGGTAACATTTCCAACAATGAAATGAGAGGAAAAACCTTTCCTCTCATTTCATTGTTGGAAGTGGTACCTGATGATCCGAATCCTTTAAAAAGAATTTTGTGAAATAAATTATTGTAATGGTACCTTAAAGTGGTCTGTTTTTTCATTAAATATATATATATATATATATATATATATATATATATATATATATATATATATATATATATATATTGATAACTGAATTCGAACTTAATATCTTGTTATTTTCTCGGAAAGTATAGTAAATTGTAATACATGACATAGCTTAATATCCACCACCTGTCTCCATGTCTACGTGTGGTGACCGAAAACGTTCAGCAAAAAAACAATATATGACTACCTGTGCCCTTTTTGTGTATAGAAGAATTTAATGAAACACGTCTTTCTCTCGAGGCCCTAATTTGAAAGATAGAAAAAAAGTATAGGGTATTGGATCGAAGATTAAAAATCTTATGCCACGCCGCCAATACGGCTATATACTAAAACTGTAGGCATTACTTATAAAGGGTTCTTCGGGCATACAGTTCAAATTACCTTACCTAGCACGCCGGGTCGGTTTTTATCATCTTTCAGTTGCGTCTCTGTCTTCGGGTAGAGTGCGACACGGTTGTGACTCCGTCGAACGACAGAAGCGTTACTGAGAAATATCACACTGTGAGGTACCCTGCCTGGGGAACATATGCCCGAGGCTGCACCCTCTCATAGCACTAGAGAGAGGGATTGGTGCTCGCATCTAGGCCAGCGCAACCGACGATTAGGGAACTCGCGGTTTTTTGTTCTTGGCCCGAGTGTACGCGCACGGGTTCCTCACATTATATCTTTTGTCACATCCCGTATCAGTGGGCAGGCCAGGGAAAATATTCATAGATACAGTTCAAATTTATCTGAAATATTTACTTTAGGGTATTTCAAGTATCATGTGAATGGAGATTAGTATATTTGGCCCATGAATAATTGGATGTATTCTCTACTATCTAAATGATATATATATATATATATATATATATATATATATATATATATATATATATGCATAATATTCTGATCAATTTATCTTAAAACCCACTTATATGGAATATAATGACGCTAAGAGACGATAAATTATAATGTACAATATATAATAATAATATATGATAATATATTAAAAATATATAATATATTTGACCTTAGAATAATAGGATGTACTCTACTTTTTTCTTACTATCTAAATGATATATACGTATAAAATTCTGATCAGTTTATCTTCAAACTCAGTTGTATGGAATACTATCAACGCTAACGTACGATAATTATCAAAATAATCTGACTGAAAACATATCCAAAATATACACACTCTGTAACACGCGACCTCATACCACCATGACTCAATAACCCGCCAAACCAATTCGCCACGTGTGAGATCAATTCGCCGCTATAGTCCTATTGAGGGTAAAATCCAATACATATTTAGAATAAACCTGTTTCATCATCGTCCATCAAAGTTCAAAAATCAGTATCATTATGCATCTGTGAGAATTTTGCCTTCGATGAAAAAAATATAGACATTCAAGCAAAACACTTTATTCTTAAATACAAAATACAAATTAAAAGACACGTGCAGTGTCCCGTTTATAAATAAGTCCAATAGAATGAGCCATCTAATAGTTGATTTACACGATATATATATGTGTGTGAATTTTGTTAGATATTAATTAAATTCACGGAGAAGCTGACAATATTTTACAAATTAA